GTTGAAACAAGAAGAGTCTCTATTTTAAAGCTTAAGTAAAGCCATTTTTAAGTTGACTTTTTTTCTAATTAAAATGATTTTCATTAAATACTTGAAATGACTAGTGTTATATGAATTGAACTTAATCTTAACTTTTATTAGATTATCAGACTATGTTTTCAATTCTAATAGAATTCTTATTGATGTGATTTGCCTGTTTTTTCCTAAAATAATACTATTTGGTGAACATGTCATTTGTTGACAATCATTAGATGATATATCAAAATCCCTATGTAAGAATCAATAAAGAATGCAAAATTTTCATCAAAATACTTACTAGCATGATTGTAAACTGCCTAGATAATTTGCTTCCTTTAAAGGTCTACCTCACTGAAAATCATGTTTCTACAAACTGATTTTTCTCCAAGAAGTATACAAGAGATAGATTTTCCTCTTATTAGATCAGAAAAGAACCAGAGGTAAAATGGTCTCACAAACGAGAAGATTTACAGGGATAACCACTTAACACTTTGCATTACCTGTTCTTCATTAACTTTTTTTCTTTTGTTTTTTATTTGTTTTTATTTTTTGAGACAAGAGTTTCACTCTGTTGCCTAGGCTGGAATGCAGTGGAACGATCTTGGCTCACTACAGCCTCCGCCTCCGCCTCCTGGGTTCAAGCAATTCTCATGTCTCACCCTCCTGAGTAGCAGGGATTACAGGTCCATGCCACTACGCCCAGCTAATTTTTAATATTTTTTAGTAGAAATGAGGTTTCGCTATGTTGGCCAGGTGGCTCTCCAACTCCTGACCTCAAATGATGCACCTGCCTCATCCTCCCAAAGTGCTGGGATTACAGGCGTGAGCTACCGGGCCTGGGCAATTAACTTTTTCCTTGAAGATGAAACTAATGAAGTGATACCTCCTCTCTTTCAGTTGTTTTCAGAAATATGGTTGAAAAGTATTGTCCACATTTGGATTTGTTTGCTTTGTCTTGCTATTGTTAAGTTTTTAAAAATTCATGATAGACTATTGGGGATATTTAAAAATTATAAATATTTTAGTGTTGTCATCATGGATACCAAATTGGGAAATAATTTTATTAGATAAATAATACTTTCAGGGTGAGTTAGGTTTTCATTTATTTGATTAATCTAATTTGTTGGCATTGGATAAACAGTTACAGATTTTCATATATAATATTTTTAAAAATGTTATACCTTTGATGCCTGTAGTGAGTCTGATGTTTTACTCTCTGTGCCTTGCTATTTGAGATGTTCACCTGTGCTTCAAAGAATACCGTGATTTTGCTGTATTTTTAGTTGGCTATTAAACCATCGCCACTGTAGTGACTCAGGCAGGCATCATCTCTACTAAGCCAGTGACAGCCTCAGTTTTGGGCCTCAACAGACTGATATATGTATGATCACTCCAAAGCAAGAGACCAAAGATTATTCTAGAATAACCTGAGTGGACGCTACCTGAAAATTTGACTAAATAGCACCAATAGTATTGATAATCCTGTTTTAAAATATTAAAAAATGTTATTTCTCTCTTTAATTTAACCACTAAGAAAAATTCAGTCACTAATTTTATCTCTCATAATGGCTTAAATTTCCAGCTCTTTAAAAATAATACTTTTTTATACAAATACTCAGGGACATATAATTAGAATAACACATTTTGTAATAAAAGCAGAATCTATGGCTTGTGCTTTCAATGAGTCATCAGAACGTCCTGAGGGCAGCTCACACTACACACATGACATTTTATGTAAATTTCAGCTACAGTATACAAGAGTAATAAAAAAATCTACTATGTACCAGGGACTTCTCCCATTTAATCTGTATATGGCTTAGAAACAGTATAATCCCATTTAAAAGATGAGAAAACCAAGGTACCAAGAAGTAACAAACTCAATTTAAAGTCGAGTCTGGGTTATGATCACAGAGGGTCTGGCTTCAGAGTCTATGCCCTTAACCTCTACACATTCCGACTCCCTGAAAAAGTTCTAGTAGTTGTTATTTATGCAGTTCTTTCGTGTATGATAGTCCTAAGTCTAATCTGAAATGCAAGCTGAGCTAAATTTAGCTTCTCCATTTTGAAGATAGAAACAATCTAAGTGAAATTCGGTCTCTTGCAATGAAACCACTGCTAGTAACCGGAAAATTAGCAAATTCAAACATAGGATTCTAAAAATAAATTTAGTCATTTAAAAGACAAAATATAATTTGACAATTTTATCTTAAATCCAACAAGATAGTGGCTCATGTGTTACAAAGTACAGTTTTATAATGTGATATGACTATTGTCCAAAATTTGAAAGTAATAAAATCAAGTCCATGCAACTACCATACAGTAGACAACTTAACTCCTGGGATATCTTCAACTGAAAACAATTAAGTTTTAAAGAAAAAGAGGTTTCAGAAGAAAGTTATTTTGATCATATAATTTATTTTAATAAAAACAAAATCTAGAGACTTACTCTCTATATATCTTTTCCATATCACCAACTCTAAGAAATGGAAAGTGGGGAGAGTGACATAGAGCATATTATCTGGAGAGATTTCCTGCTCTGTTTAAACTCCACCTCCTTTTACCTACACCATTCCTCAATCACCTTGCCTTATTAAACTACATAAATCTCCTCTGTTGTTGCTGTTATGCCCACTTAGGATTTGAGACATTATTTGTGTGGATCTGTGAAATACTTTTTTCTTTCTCTTTCTTTTTTGTTTGTTTGTTTGTTCGTTTCCTTTTTGGCCTTTATTTATTCTTCCTAATGGCTAAGGTCCATTTTAATGAGGTGTTATAGTGCTTTTCCTTTATTCTGTGACCATCTCTACCATGTATGGAATGGTCATTCAATGTTATGCTAAACAAAAGAACTGATGTTTCACCAAACACTCTATAAGAAGATTCGCAGACCTCCACTCACCTGGCTGGCTGTGCAGTTGGATAGGCAAGTCCTATTATCAGCTGCCAGATAGAAGTTGGTGGGACATGCACAAGTGTGGGTTTTTCCAGGGGCTAAAAGGCACAGATGACTGCAACCACCATTATTTATCATGCAGAGATGTTTGGAGACTACAGATAAGAAAGAAACAACAACAACAAAACAGGATAATCAAAACTAGTAATATAACATGGGATTAGAGATAGGACACTTAAGCTTCATAACTTGAATTGGAATAAATCTTTGTAATCAAGAACTCATCAAGACTATAAATATAATTTTACTTTGTCACAAATGCTACTCATTGTCCATTGACATTAATTTGACCATTCAATAATTTTAAGGGTGCATTTCTACAAAACAAGAATTTTAGTAGGAAAAAACTGTCCATGAGAAAAATAAACAAGACTAGAAGCATTTTGGATGAAGACAACATATGTTCAGAAATACAAACATAAAATAAAACAATGAAACAATGATCTACACCTAGGAGTGTAATGGCTTTGCTTTATAGGCCAGATAGGTTTTTTAAGGAAAATAATCAAACCTTCATTTCACAAGGCCAGATGAAATTCCTATTAAACATATGTTGAAGAAAACTTGATAGAGTTGTCAGTTTTAAAATCTGAGAGCTACTTAAACATAATTCCTCCTACTCAACATTGCAGAAACTAAGGATCCTCTATTTTGTAAACAAATTATTTCAAGAATACAGTCTTCACTTATCTGACTAAGTGCATTATTATCATTTTAGCTTTATATGAGTTGAACAAATCTACAATTCTTTGTCCTATTATTGAGCTTCTATCATATGTCTTAAGAGCAGTACTTCATATTGATTGAATTCTTCCATAAAGTGATGCTAAATAATTAAATCTAGTAAACTTCATCAAAAATAAAATTACATTTAACCTTGAAAGAATAAAAAATGGAATGTTACTGAAAGATGTTAATGCATTTATGGAAATCATGGAAAGAATAATTACCATCAGGTTGTCTATAAGAATGATACACCTGGATATCTGTGATGGCATGCCATGAGTTAATCAGTGAGAGTCTGTCTGCTCCCGATGTTTTATGGGCACGGCTGAGTGACTTGGTTTTCCCATCAGTCCAGTAGATGTAGTCTTCAAACAATGTTAGTGCAATCACCCCTGGAATATCTTGATTAGGGACTGTAATAGGAGATGGTAAGATTAATGTTCAGTCTTGGAAGACTGCCAGTTAAAATATTCAATACTACATGGGCTGACAGATACAACTGCTACAGAACTTCATGTGAATAATTGCTGTGACAACCTGTCAGGCCAGCAAAGTTCTTTATTACCGGTTAAGAGAATGCAGGATTGGGCACAGGAGCTAGTTTTGCTCAGATTTGGCTTGGTTCAATCACTGGAAAAAAAAATGAATGTGATTCTTTCACCGTTAAAGCCTGCTTCACCAGAAACAAATACCATCCACCATTTTAAAATTCATAATTTATATATATGTGTGTATGTGTGTGTATACATACACACATATTTACATATATACATATATATCTCCTTCTGGTTGTTCTTAACTTAAATACCTAAATCTAAATGTCATTGTCCTACTTTTTTCACATGCAAAATGATTAAATTATAGGTCCTGGAAGGAATGTGTCTACTACCTGGAAATAAAGTGGCTGTGAAACTACTATAAACCTTTTCAGCCACTGAGATTTTATGAGCACTTTTACTTGCAAGGTGAGCTGGGATGGGGTAGAGGGAAATAAGTGTGGCAGATAATAATGTATTATGCAAATTT